AAAAAAAAAATACAAAATAAGCCGGGCGTGGTGGCGCATGCCTGTAATCCCAGCTACTCGGGAGGCTGAGGCCGGAGAATTGCTTGAACCCGGGAGGTGGACATTTGCAGTGAGCCGAGATCACGCCATCGCATTCCAGCCTGGGCAACAAGAGCGAAACTCTGTCTCAAAAAAAAAGAAATGAAACAAAAGAGAACTGCCAGCTCCCGCCCACCCAGGGCCCTCCCTGCATCAGAACTTGGCCGGAGGCTCTCAGTACATTCTCTCACTAATTGCCCAGGATGGATCTGCAATGTAGACCATCTCATTTCATAGAGGGAGAAACAGGTCGTGGGTGAGGTACCTCCTACAGCTTTTGCAGCTAATCAGGGCCAGAGGTGGAACTTTGCAACTCCAGACTGGCGCCTGGCCACCTCTGCAGCCCTGGCCTCCCCATCTGCTCGGTCATGGCCACCTGGAGCCCTGGCTGCAGGACCAAGTTCAGTCCCTTGGGGCCACGCCCAACTCTGCAGGTGGAGGCCGCATCCATCTTCCCTGGGGGAGCACGGCAGGGCGCAGACTCCAGGAAAGGGGTGCGCATCACAGAGTCAATGCTCAGACAGACGGGCAGACCTTTGACCCCATTGATACGGACTTGGTCCTAAGTAAATGTCTCTTAGGAAAGCACTCCTCACCAGTGAGTGATCGAGGGGGAAAATGCAAGCAATTTCAGGGCCCTGCCGTGGACAAATGGATTAGTAAAAAGAAGGACCATCCCTAACTGGGATGTTATAGCACCATTAAAATATTAACAATAGTTATGGAGAATTCATAGTAACGTGAGAAGTGTATCCAGTATAATATGAAGTCAAAACATACATCATACAAAATTATATATAGTACAGTATGATTGTACGTCTTCCTGTAGCAAACTCATGCTTTACCACAATATGGAAATAATCACATATGGGAATTAAATATTAAGTTGACTTTTCTTTTTTTTGAGACAGAGTCTCACTCTGTCACCCAGGCTGGAGTGCAGTCACGCAATCTCGGCTCACTGCACCCTCCGCTCCAGGCTGAAGTGATTCTCCTGCTTCAGCCTCTTGAGTAGCTGGGATTGTAGGCGTGTGCCACCAAGCCTGGCTAATTTTTTAGTAGAGACAGGGTCTCACCATGTTGCTCAGGCTGGTTTCGAACTCCTGACCTCAGGTTATCCGCCGCCTTAACCTCCCAAAGTGCTAGGATTACAGATGTAAGTCACTGTGCCCAGCTCTTGGCTTTTCAAATTAGGTAAAGGGATTAGCTATATTAAAATACACAATAACTGATTCTTAGAGGGAAGGGCTGAAGCTAGAATTTACTTCCTTCATTGTGTGTGTGTGTGTGTGTTTCGAGACAAAGTCTCACTCTGTCACTTAGGCTACAGTGCAGTAACATGATCTCAGCTCACTGCAACCTCCACCTCCTGGGTTCAAGCAATTCTCCTGCCTCAGCCTCCCAAATGGTTGGGGTTACAGGTGCCCAACATCACGCCCAGCTAATTTTTGTATTTTTAGTAGAGACAGGATTTCACCATGTTGGCCAGGCTGGTCTTGAACTCCTGACCACAAGTGACCTGCCCGTCTTAGCTTCCCAAAGTGCTGGGATTACAGACTTCATTCTTTACACCAAAAAATTGTTGATGGATTTAGGATTTAAATATTATAATTTTTTATTGTCACAAACATACTGGAAGAAAACTGGGGTGCATATTTGTTTTTATTAATATGACTATCTAAAACTTAAAACAGATTCTTAAAAACAAATAATATTTTAAAAACATAACACACGGAGAAGAAATATTTGTACCATGTAAGACAAAAAGGCTAATCTTCATTATATACAAAGAGGTCTTCAAAATTAATAAGAACAAAATCCACTCTACAAAAATAGGCAAAGGAGATAAGTAGGCATTTCATACAAAGAGAAATAACATAGCTTTACTCAGCAGTAAAAATTTAAATTTGATTTTATCTTGCGTTGGCAGAGTATACGAAAACACACTTACATATTGTTGGTGGGAGTTTAAATTGGTGAAAGTTTTTTGTTGGGAAGTTTTTCAGTATCTATCAAAACAAGAAAAGTGGCCAGGCAAGGTGTCTCATGCCTGCAATTTCAGTACTTTGGGAGGCTAAGGCAGGCGGATCACTTGAGGCCAGGAGTTCGAGACCAACCTGGCCAACATGGTGAAACCCCATCTCTACTAAAAATATGAAAAACAGCCAGGCGTGGTGCACACCTGTAATCCCAGCTTCTTGGGAGGCTGAGGTGAGAATTGCTTGAACTCAGGAGCAGACGTTGCAGTGAGCCGAGATCACGCCACTGCACTCCAGCCTGGGTGACAGAACAAGACCCTGTCTCCAAAAAAAAATTGCAGATACCCTTTGGCCATTGTGATTCCTCTGTTAGCATTTCATCCAACAGATTCACTCTCAAAATTATGCAACAATATCTCCACAATGATCACTGAGGGAATGTTCAGTAGAAAGAAACCTAGAAACAATCTGAGTGTCCATAGAGGCTTGATTAAGTTAATTATTTAATAAGAATGAGGAAGAACTATGTTTGCTGGAAATAGAACATTTCTAAAATGCGGAGAGAAGTGAATAAGGGACCCCAGAATGTGATGTGTGTTGTGATCACCTTTGTATTAAAAGAACAGGGCAGGGAGATTGTATTACACTGTAGGATATTAAATACTTCTGGCCAGGTGCGGTGGCTCATGCCTGTAATCCCAGCACTTTGGGAGGCCGAGGCGGGCGGATCACGAGGTCAGGAGATCGAGACCATCCTGGCTAACACAGTGAAACCCCATCTCTACGAAAAAATTAAAAAAAAATTAGCCGGGCTTAGTGGTGGGCGCCTGTAGTCCCAGCTACTCGGGAGGCGGAGGCAGGAGAATGGCGTGAACCCAGGAGGCGGAGCTTGCAGTGAGCCGAGATCCTGCCACTGCACTCCAGCCTGGGCAACAGAGCGAAACTCTGTCTCAAAAAAACAAAAACAAAAACAAAAAAACCTTCTGTTTCACTAGCCAGTATATTACATTGCTTCATTATTACTCTATAGTATGCTACATATTAAATCATACTATGCTTTAGTATATTACATTCATTCATATTTTGCTGTGCTATGTGACATATTAATTTATATTGCACTATAGTATGTTACATATTAATTCACATTATGCTATAGCATGTTACATATTAGTTCATGTTACACTATAATATATTACATTAGTTCACATTTCACTATAGTACATTATGGATTAGTTCATATTACACTATAGCATGTTACATATTAGTTTGTATTACACTAGTTTGTTACATGTTAGTTCACATTACGCTTTAGTGTGTTACACATTAGTTCATATTACGCTCTCGTATGTTACGTATGAGTTCATATTACCCTATAATGTGTTACGTATTAGTTTATGTTACACTATAGCATGTTACGTATTAGTTCATATTACAGTATAGCTTGTTACATGTTGGTTCATAGTACACTGTTGTTACACGTTAATTTCTATTATGCTATAGTGTGTTATGTGTTTGCTTGTATTACACTATCGCCTGTTACATATCATATGCTACATATTAGTTCATATTATGCTATAGTATGTTACATATTTGTTCATATTACACTTTAGCCTGTTACATATGATGTCGTATTTCTGTACATGCAGAAACATTTTAGAAAGATACAAACGAACTCTATCTGAGGAGCGGAAATGAGCCAAGGAATAGTAAGAATCTTCCATTTTCCATGCTCTTGTCATATTTGATTACATCCCTGAGTGTCCATAATTGAAATACATGAAAATATTAGCAGTGCTTTTCTAGAGGTGATGGGAATTGGGGTGACTTTGTAAACTGTGTCATTTCTACTTTTCTGTATTCCCAGTTTATTATTATGAGAGCATATGTTATATTCATATGACATAAAAATAATAAACTTATTTTTGGAGCTTTTTTTTTTTTTTTTTTTTTTTGCAGATTAAGAGGAAGGAATGCTATTTATTGACCAGGGAAGTCACTTAGAGATCCTGGGAAATGTGAATCTGTGGAATGCCGTTGCAAGCATTCACAATGTCCCCATTAGGTATTGCAGTTGCGTTTGCATTCCATTATAACAGAGACGAAACAGCTGCCACATCTATTTAGTGCATCCTTTATTCCAACAAACTCCTTCATTGTGTCAGCAGAATGTAAATGGATCATTCTTCTTGGGCTAACTTCAGAAAACAATGAGTGCGTGATGATGATTTTTTTTTTTTTTCTTTTTAAAATCTGGCATTGCAAGAACAAATTACATTTAGGATAACCTTCTACGCCAGTTACCATCCGTCAAGCCCGACGGGTTGCACACTTCCCATGATGTGACACGCAGTTACAAAGTTGGGGTGTGGAAGCTGCAGGAGCAGGGCCCACGGCCCACGTGTCGTCGCGGGCGATACCCCGTGGCGCGCCTGCCGCCAGCTGAGCGCAGGGAGGGAGCTGAGCTCAGCCCAAAGGCACACGTGCATTTCAGTTGGTAAAGGAGATGACCAATTTGGCTTCATCCTCTTCTTTGCAGAAAGCTGCAGGAGACACAGATGTCCACCACCTCAAAGCTGGAGGAAGCTGAGCATAAGGTTCAGAGCCTACAAACAGGTTTGATACTCTCCTTCCTAGTACTGTGGATGTGGGGAGGACCGGGGGAGAGTTGGGTCGGCTCCCTGACCGCCCCGGTCCCCGCAGATACCTGTTGCTCTTGGGGGCCGTGGGAGCTGCCGTGAGCCCACGCTGAAGATTCCGCAGCACGCCCGCCAGCTGCTGCGCCTCATTCCTCACTGACTTTGAGTTGTTATTGTAGAGGTGGGAGGATCTCAATTCCATTTTCATCCCTTCCACACGCCATCCTTGCTTCCTGCTCTTTTTCCAACAAACACGTCTAAATCACCAAACTGTCAAGGACTGACATTTCATTTGGAACAATAATAGAAAAAAAAAAAAAGCCTCACTTCTACCCTAAGTGAAGTTAAGGAGAACAGTAATTTCAGACCTTTAAAATTTAAAAGCCACCAAAAAAGGTTATGCTCAAGTTTTTACAGTATCTTTAAACTTCTTTCTCTCTCTCTGTCCCCCCCCTTTTTTTTTTTTTTTTTTTTTTTTTTTTTTTTTTTTTTTTTTTTTTTTTTTTTTTTTTTTTTTTTTTTTTTTGAGACAGAGTCTTGCTCTGTCACCCAGGCTGGAATGCAGTGGCGATCTTGGCTCACTACAAGCTCCGCCTCCCAGGTTCACGCCATTTCCTGCCTCAGCAGTAGCTGGGACTATAGGCGTCCGCCACCACGCCCAGCTAATTTTTTGTGTTTTTAGTGGAGACGGAGTTTCACCATGTTAGCCAGGATGGTCTCGATCTCCTGACCTCGTGATCCGCCCACCTCAGCCTCCCAAAGTGCTGGGATTACAGCCTTGAGCCACCGCGCCCAGCCCTCTCTCTTGTTTTTATTTCTGTTTTTGTTTTGTTTTTGTTTTTGTTTTTGTTCTTTTGCAACAGGGTCTTGCTCTACCACCCAGGCTGGTGCGCAGTGTCGTGATCTCCGGTCACTGCAACCTTTACCTCCATGGGCTCAAGCAATCCTCCCACCTCAGCGTCCCCAGTAGCTGGAATTAACAGGTGCCCGCCACCACACCCGCCTAATTTTTGTATTTTTAGTAGAGATGAGGTTTTACCATGTTGGCCAGTCCAATCTCGATCTCCTGAGCTCTAGTGAGCCACCACGCCCAGCCTTTCTTTTTTATTTCTGAAAGAGAAGCATCACCATGTATTTCATTTAAATGTACTTTTAAATTTTTATTTATTTTTTTGATGACCCAGAACTGAGCAGAAATGTGGACAGACATCAGAAGTCATGATTCAACTTAAAACACAAATGACAAGAGTGGGAGAAAATAATCACAACCAGTTTGACAAACGGATAATTAAAAAATGTAAAGGCTGCCAGTCAATCCGTTAAATGAGAGAAACAGTGCAATTGAACAATAAGCAAAGGATAGGAACAGTCAGTTCACAGAAGAAATGCAAATGGAAGCTACACATATGAAAAAATGCAAAGTTTTTTTACAGTCAGGGAGATGCAGATTCAATTAGTGAAAGACTGTTTTGCCTGTCAGACTGTCAGAATTTTTTAATTATTTATTTATTTATTTTTGAGATGGAGTCCCGCTCTGTCACCCAGGCTGGAGTCCAGTGGCGCGATCTTGTCTCACTGCAAGTTCTGCCCCCCGAGTTCAAGTGATTCTCCTGCCTCAGCCTCCTGAGTAGTTGTGATTACAGGGTAGTTGTGATTACAGGCACACGCCACCATGCCCGGCTAATTTTTATATTTTTACGGGGTTTCGCCATGTTGGCCAGGCTGGTCTCGAACTCCTGACCTCAGGTGATCCACCTGCCTTGGCCTCCCAAAGTGCTAGGATTACAGGTGTGAGCCACCGCACCCGGCCTAATTTTTTATTTCATTTTAGAGACATGGTCTCACCCTGTCGCTCAGGTTGGAGAGCAGTGATATAATCATAGTTCAGTGCAGTCTCAAAATCCTGGGCTGAAGTGATCCTCCTGCCTCAGCCTCCCAAGTAGCTGAGACTGCAGGCACGCACCACCACACATGGCTAATTTTTTTTTTCATTGTTTATTTTATGGACATGGACTCTCACTGTGCTGCCCAGGCTGGTCTTGAAGTTCCGGCCTCCAGCGACCCTCCCACCTCAGCATCCCAAAATGCTGGGATTACAGGTGTGAGCTACCACACCTGGCCTTTGAAAAAAACTATAGCAACTCTGGCCTGACAAAGACTGTCAAAAATTACTGAAACACCCAGTGTTGGTGAGGGTGAAGTGGCACTTAAGGAATGGATGGGCAAGAAGCCTCTTGGGAGGCCAGCTGGGTGGCATTTATGTAAAACTCCAGTGCCCAAGCTGTTCAGCCAGCAGCTTCACTTCCAGGTATCCTGATGAGAGAACTGAAGGTTATTGCCACTGCCCGCATCCACAGGTGGAAGGACTTCCATACCATACTGCCCAGGGAAAAAGACTAGTCTCAAGAAATATTCATATCGTCCCATTTATGGGGGTAGAAAATAAAAAAAGATACATACACACACATATATACATGCAATTATGTATGGAAATTTTTTTAAATGTAAAATACACTTTCTTTTATTTTGTTACACTTTTTTGAAATGAGTCTCGCTGTGTCACCCAGGCCTAGAGTGCAGTGACATGATCTTGGCTCACTGCAACCTCCGTCTCCAGGGTTCAAGCAATTAATTCTCCTGCCTTATCCTCCTGAGTAGCCAGGATTACAGGCTACGCGCCACCATGCTTGACTAAGTTTTGTATTTTTAGTACAGACAGAGTTTCACCATGTTGGCCAGGCTGGTATCAAACTCCTGACCTCAGGTGATCTGCCCGTCTCAGCCTCCCAAAATGTGAGCCACCTCACCCAGCCAGGAATAATAAAATACACCTTAAAAGATGAAATCATCCAGGTGCAACGGCTCACACCTGTAATCCCAGCACTTTGGGAGGCCAAGGTAGGGGGATCACTTCAGGCCAGGAATTCCAGACCAGCCTGGGCAACATAGCAAAAGCCTGTCTCTACAACAGTGTTTTAAAATATTAGCCAAGCGTAGTGGCTTGCACCTGTAGTCCCAGTTACTTGGGAGGGTGAGGCAAGAGGACGGCTTGAGTCCAGGAGTTCAAGGTTGCAGTAAGCTGTGATTGTGCCATTGTACTCCAGCCTGAGTGACAGTGAGAAAACTTGTCTCTTAAAAATGGAAGGGAAAGAAAGAAAGAAGGAAGGGAGAATGGGAAAGAAGAAAGGAAGGGAGAGAAGAAGGGAGGGAGGGAGGAAACTATTAACATTGGTTCTGTCTTTGTAGGTGGTTGGGATTCGATGAGGCAGAAATGAAAGGGGATTTCCTATTCCATTTTTTATATTTTCATCATCTTGACCTCTTTTGTGTTTTTCTAATCTTTATTTTTCCACGTACCTGACTCTTCACAGAAATCTTTGCCTCTTTTGAAACGGGAATAGATTACTTGTATATGCATTCTTTTAAAATTTCATTTAAATAGTTAATATCTTACGTCTTGGTTTTATATGCTTTGCCTTTCAGCCCTGGAAAAAACTCGAACAGAATTATTTGACCTGAAAACCAAATACGATGAAGAAACTACTGCAAAGTAAGTCTGTCCGCTTGGCCTCCCTTATCGGCACGCGTTTCTCACCTGAGTTTGCTTGTGTAGGGCAGGATCGAGAAGGTTCTTGACCTCTGTGCTGCTGCAGGGACACAGTGTCTTTCCCATGAGTTACTTGCGTCGGTTCAATGCACATTCTAGCACTCATTGGGTAACCCTTCCCACAAACTTCTTTCATTTACTGTAAAGCCTGGTCACTGCTATGCCTTCTGCCATGAACATTTGGGAGTTAGTTTATACAAGATGTGACACATGGGACATTTTTTGTGTGGAGTTGGGTCTGGGTAAATCACATCTCTTCTTCCGTGGGCCATAGTTCTTCATTTCTTCCAGGGCCCTTTAGGAAGGCCTGCCCCAGAATAAGCCCATTCCCATGCAGGCATACGGGTTCATGTCATACCTTGCAACGCTATGTGTGGATATACGGATAGACACAGATTTGGGCAGGCAGAGTCACAAAAGGCCAAGTTCCCACCCAGCCCTTGTCCAAAGGAAATTAGAGGTGTCCACTACAAGTGTACTTTTTACCAGCACATCTTTCGTGCAGAACACCAGCAAGGAAGAAATAAAAATCGACATAAATCATGAAAAGATGAAGAAATGACAGAAATTGCTCCTAGCCATGGCCTCCTCTACCAAATTCCAGGGGGGCAATGCGAGGCTAGAGTTTGAACCCCGTTTTCCTGTTCTGGAAGGCTCTTCCCGTCTTCCGCGGAAATACACATGCGTGCTTACTGCCATGTCTCTTGGGTTTCCCTATTCCAGTAACTAAGGTCCCCCTACTCTGCTCACACAGTGCCTCTGTGGGCATCAGCAAGAAGATGGGTGCTTCTGAATGGCGCCGCTGTCCCGCCAGGCTCCAGCTCTGTATGGGTGCTGGTACTTAGTATCCCTCTGCGCCATCTCACGTGACCTTGGGCTTTGAGGGTGCTGCTGGGTCTGTTGCTTTCAGGATGCTGTATGGGGTTCTTGGCCCTTTGCTCTGGGTCGTTGAGTAGCCTGAGACCTCAAGAGCCCAGCTCCCCAGCCTGGTGGTCAGAACGGATTCTGATCATGAGTATGAAACTGACAAAGACTAAAACATCACCACTAGATCAGCTACTTTCTTCTCTCAATTACTTCTGCTTGGACCTGATTAAGCAACTTACTTGTACTAAGTAAGTTGTTTTTCTCAGTAAATCTGATTTTTAAAAATTACTGTATTTCATCAGGCATGGGCATGGTGGTATGTACCTGTAGTCCCAGCTACTTGGGAGCCTGAGTTGGGAGGATCATGTGAACCCAGGAGTTGAGGCTGCAGTGAGCTATGATCGTGCCACTGCACTCCAGCCTGGGCAACAGAGCAAGACCCTGTCCCTAAAAAAAATTTTTAATTAAAAAAATATTTTTTTGTTTTAAAAAACATGTCAGGGGCTTAATCCCCTTCACGTAAAAATTAGCCCTGTCTCAGGACTACAGCTGAGAGGGCAGTGGCTCCCTTGGGGTGCGCCCCACCAGCCCTCTGAAGTAAGAAACATTCTTGTCTCCCCAGTGGTGAGCCAGGCTGAGGGGTGTGGTGTGCACGAAGGGAAAGAGACTCACTCGGTTAGATGATAGGCGTGGCTCAGAGATAATAGATACATTCATTGATTCAACAGATGTTCACAGAGGCTTCCTCTGTGCCTTGCCCCGTGCAAATTCTGAGCCTTTTATGGCTCCATGGCCATTGCAATCCAACATGCCCAGTGCTGCAATCAAGGGAACGGGCACTGGCCATCAGCAGGTCAGACAGGGAGCCTGCAGGTGGCAGGCAGGGCACTCCCATTGGAATAGTCAGAAGAGAGTTTGGTTGGGTGCGGTGGCTCACGCCTGTAATCCCAGCACTTTGGGAGGCCGAGGCAGGTGGATCACCTGAGGTCAGGTGTTCGAGACCAGCCTGGCCAACATGGTGAAACCCCGTCTCTACTAAAAATACCAAAATTAGCTGAGCATGGTGGTGCACGCCTGTAACCCAAGCTACTGAGGTGACTGAGGCAGGAGAATCGCTTGAACTTGGGAGGCAGAGATTGCAATGAGCTGAGATAGCACCACTGCACCCCAGCCTGGGCGATGGAGCAAGACTCCATCGCAAAAAAAAAAAAAAAAAAAGTCAACATTGGGCCTATTTGCAGAGGTGCAGTTCCTAGGCTCATAGTACCAGTAGGATTTCCACGCCTGGGTTTGAATGAGCCAGAGGAGGGAAAGGAAGCTGGAGCCTGAAGGTGAGGGCCCCCTCGAGGGGAGCCGTGGCCTTGGAGAGGGGAAAGGGACCCAGGGCAGTGCCAGGGACCCCTCACCTGATCCCCTCTCTCCTCCCACCAGCCAGGGGAGCTGGGGAAGGGCATAAAACATCCCTGGCACCAGGGGAGTGCAGGGAAAGAATTGTCAAGGAAGGCTTCCTAAAGAGGGTGGTATGAGATTCGGGATTGGAAGATGAGTCAATTCAGAGTTTGCAGAGGTTTGTGAAGATGCAAGCCTGGCGAAGCCTGTCTTGGGGTGGACCCGCCAGAGGTTCCGAATGATTTGCCTGTGGGGCAGGATGGGCGCAGCCTGGCAGGGCATTTCCCACATTAGAAACGGTCTGGACACTGACAAAGGCAGCCCAGGACCAACGACGTACACTAATAGTTCCCGGAGTAAGTCATCCCCCAAAAATGCAGAGAATGGCCTGAGATTATTGGATCTTGGCTACTTTCTTTTAACTTTGGAGGCCATGGGCTCAATCGGAGACTTCCTCTGCTGCCTTTCCCTCCCCTTTTATTTTCCAGGACAGATTTGTCACTGTTCCATCTGCTTCAAGTCCAACCTACGCATATTTTATTAGACCAGACACGTTTTCATTCATGCTTATGAATATAAGCCCCTTGGGGGTAAATCTTTTCGCATATGGTCTTACAGCATTTCAAAAACGATTTCTTTTCCCTCTTCAGAAGGAGGGATTCTTAGGGCCGGGCGCGGTGGCTCACGCCTGTAATCCCAGCACTTTGGGAGGCTGAGGCGGGTGTCTCACTTGAGCCCAGGAGTTCGAGACCAGCCTGGGCAACATGGCGAAACCCTGTCTCTACAAAAAATACAAAAATTATCCCAGCGTGGTAGCTCGTAACTGTAGTCCCAGCTACTTATGGGGCTGAAGTGGGAGGATCACTTGAGCCCAGGAGGTTGAGGGTGCCGTGAGCCTAGATTATACTACTGCACTCCAACCTGGGTGGCAGAGCAAGACCCTGTCTCAAAAAAAAAAAAAAAAAAAAAAGGAGGAATTCTTAAATATTTGTTGACGGGAATTGGAGAGGCATGAAGGAAGATGGATTTTGGAGGAAGACTGACTTGGGAGTAATTCACTAGGGTCCACTACCAGCACTCTGTGTGACCCTGAATGAGCTATGAGCTGTCCACCTCCCTTTCTGACCTGTACAGCAGGCATACCAGGAGTCAAGTCACTGGGTGTTGTTTGTTGTTGTTTTTATTTTGTTCTGTTTTGAGGTGGAATCTCACTCTGTTGTCCAGGCTGGAGTGCAGTGGCACAATCTCTGCTCACTGCAACCTCCGCCTCCCAGGTTCAAGCGATTCTCCTGCCTCAGCCTCCCAAGTAGCTGGGATTACAGGCGTGCACCACCACATCTGGCTAATTTTTGTCTTTTTAGTAGAGATGGGGTTTCACCATGTTAACCAGGATGATCTTGATCTCCTGACCTCATGATCCACCCGCCTCAGCCTCCCAAAGTGCTGGGATTACAGGCGTGAGCCACCACACCCGGCCCGCTGAGTGGTATTGGAGAGGAATGGGATGTGTGTGTACAGCACCTGGCATGGTGAGAGTCTGAGGCTAAGCTGTCGACAGATAGAAGCTATTCCCAGCAAGCTCACAGCAGGGCATGTTATGCGTTTCTGAAATTAATGGCCTTGGAGGAAATTGACCTTCACCACGACGGACTGGGTGCACATTGCCTGTCTGTCGTGGGGAGATGTCACAGGGTACCCATCCCTCTCCCCGGTTTTGGGGAGAAGCCCGCAGGTCTATGGCACCGAGGCTGCTCCGAGACCCTGGTTTATCGTGAGCAGTCATCGCCATGTGTCAGCTGGGACAGCACGGGCTGACTGTGGCGGAGACAACGGCAGTAAAGTTTTCCATGTGTAGGCTTGAAGCAAAATGTAATTAGCCTTTATGTGCAGAACAAGGGCCCATTGATGAATACAGCTGGTCTTTGTTTTGTCCTGTCGTTGAGAGTGGGAGGTAAAAGTGTTCTTCTTCATGTTTATTAATGCAAGATTCCTTAGACAAATGGCAAGCACAGTTTAATATTTGTTGGAACATGGGGGCTTTGCCAAAACAGTTGTTGTGTAAGAAGATTGCAAGGTTTCTGATTATAACCATTTCTGGGTTAAATAAATGAATTATTTCTGCCCTTTTTTTCTTTTTGGAAATTTTTTTTAGAGTCGGGGTCTCACTGTGTTGCCCAGGGTGGTCTCAAACTCCTGGCCTCAGGTGATCCTCCCACCTCAGCCTCCCAAAGTGCTGGGATTACAGGCATGAGCCACTATGCCTGGCATTCTTTTTTCTTTAGTTAAAAACATAGCTCCTTCTCAGATGGTCACCCTGTGTACGGATCTTCCCACTTCTCTTAGCAAATGGAGATTTACCACCCTAATAGCCTTAACCTTGACAAGTCCAGCAAAGGAACGTGGTGTGGATTTTAACATCTAAACAATTTCCTGGGATGGATGGCCATGGAGGTGGCAGATCCCTGGAATCATGCAGCAGCAGCCGGCCCAGAGAGAGGCCTGGGCATCCCTCACTGCCCCAAGTTCCTGCATCCATCTCCTGCAGCTGTTCACTTACTTGTTATTGAGTTTGGGTTGCTACTGCACCCTCCAGCAGGAATGTCGCCCTCCCAGCCAAGCGGCTAGTGTTCCGGGCAAAAGTGCAGGAATTCCCATTTTTGCTGAAGTCCACGATCCTATGCCCTGTC